GGCAGATAGAAGATGGATAAAGGAGAAGATAGGTGGAGAGGAGACAGACAGGTCAAAGTGGCAGGGGTGGAGCCAGTAAAGGTAAGTGTAGCTGGGGAGTTAGGGAGGGGATAGATCAGTTCGGGGAGGATGGACAGGTCAAGGGGGTGGGATGAGGCTAGTAGATAGGAGATGGGGGTGGGGCTTGAGGTGGGAAGAGGGTATAAGTGGGAGGAAAGACAAGTTAGGGAGGTGGGGACAAGCTGGGCTGGTTTTGGGATGCGGTAGGGAGAGGGGAGATTTTGAAGCTTGTGAAGTCCACATTGATACCATAGGGCTGCATTTGCTTGATGTGTTAACAGCTTATCAAGTTTGAATCTTAAGGAAAAATGACAAAATACGTTGGAAATGCATGACAGGTCCATCAAAATCTGAAGGGTCAAAAGAAAGGTTAATGTTTCAAGTGCAGACTTTATCTCAGAGTGACTTTTTAATGATTAGGAGACAGTAATGACTGCAGATGCTGGAAGTCAGAGTCAATAAACATGGAGCTGGACAATCACAGCAGGACCGAAATGTTGACATTCCTGCTCCTGTGATGCTGCCTGACCTGCTGTGTTTGTCCAGCTCCATGTTTATTGACACTGTCTTTTTGTAATGTTGATGGATCTGTTGTGTATTTCCAGCACTTTGTGTTTTCACTTTAAATTTCCAGCATTTGCTGTTTCATTTTTTTGACTACCCAAATTTTTACTGCCATCAAACTTTAGCAGACTGCATTATTCAATAAGACAAAATTGACCAGATTAAATTTTGCCCTGATTGTTTATTCAACCTGTATTATTACATTGTTGTACAAAAATCAATAGGAATATTGTGTGGGGCTTTTTGATGAAGGGTTCTTGAAGCTATGTAACAACAGTCATTTTACAAGATATACTCTTTTATTTCATTGACTAGTACTTGGAAATATCATAATGTGCATATACGAGGAGACTGTATGTTTGCAGTTTGATATTGACCGTAAAATTTATGAATTATGAATGAATGAGTGACTTAGTGAATGTTGCATGCATTTTATCATACACCTTTCACAATTTTGAGATATCCCAAAGCACTTCATAGTCATTGAACTCATTTGGCAGTGAATTTAGTATTGTGGTGTAGGAAAAATGACAACTACATTTATGACAATAAGGTCCTACAAAGACCACTGAAGTAATGACCAGGTTAGATGTCTTAACAAGATTAAAGATGAACCAGGACCATTGCAACTTCAGATACATTCCAAATCAACTTTTATTTTTGACTTCTACCATATCTCCAATTTATTTGTTAATTTGTTAATCTTTTTCCAACTATGTTTCTATTTTGTCCTATTGTCTCCTGCATGTATACATTTCTGCTGAGGTACAGTTTTTCAGGTGTCAGTCATACTCTCAAAGACCTTCAAAGTGGCCATGCCTCATATGTGAGCTACAACAGCCAGCATCTTATTCAACATTGACAGTATTATGGCTGAATAGTCATCCATTCATATGTACATACCAGAAGGGGTCAACTGTTAGTGATGAAACATGACAATACTGAATGATTTCCCTTCTCTAGAGTTGCTGAGGCCACACTTGTGTGATTGGTTTATAGTCAAATATAACATCTCAGAATTTAAGTAATTAAGCAGCTTCTTAATGTCAGCATGCCTGAACCAGTTAACTATCACAGACTGAATTGAACCTTGAATTTAGTCTCTGTGCTTAAGTACAGATGCTCAGTTGACTGCATGGCTGGTTTGTGATGCAGACTGATGCCAACGGTATGGGTTTAATTCCTGCACTGGGTGAGATGAGCAGTGAGTTGCTTGTTTTAAAAATAGTAGGTAAAGTCTCCATAGACCTACTGGATGATAGAGTTGGTCTCTCATTAGTGAGACCATGGTGGCGGTTTAACCTGAGGTTTAGGTCTCAGGCAAAGAGAGAGGTTGAGAAGGAGAGTCAGTGAGTGTGGGAATTGAACCCATGTTGTTGGTATCACTCTGCCTCAGCAAAACAGCTATTGAGCTAACCAACCCCCCCAAAGTATCTCAAATAGCTTTACTTTTCACTTTTGCTTTCTTCTTAAAAATCTAAAGGCAACTTAATTTGTTCAAAGGGTAATCGATTTCTTCTCTATTTCTGTTCTTTTATTGACTTGACAAGCAACTCGTGCCATCAGGAATTGTTCTGAAAAAACAATTTAGATCCTTCTTTCCATGCCGCCAATCGAGGTAAGTAATATTGATGCAGTTGAATTGAAATGGTCTGTGCTCATGAGGATGTTAATTACTGTTAATTCAGTGCTTAAACACATTTGGAATCAAAAAGAATTCAAACTCATTGCTTTGATAATTGAAAAAAGTAGACAAAAGAAATTCAAAAAGTCCTTTAAATCAAAAATTTTTTAAATTTCTTTAGTTTTTGTCCCTCTAGTAGTACAATGAGTCTCCCATTTTAAAATGTGTGAAACTGTCAGAACCACTTTTCCACAAAGGACTAGTAATCAAAACCCCAGCCTGATGTTCTGGGGATGTGCATTCAATTCACTCTGTGGTCAAGAGTGATATTTGAATTAAAAATATCTGGAATTAAAAGCTAGCCAAATGGGAACCATGTAACCATTGTTGATTTTTGTAAAATCCCATCTAGTTCTCTAATGCCCTTTAGAAAGGAAATCCTATGTGCGACTCCAGATCCCTAGCAATGTGGTTGACTCTTAGCTTCCCTCTAAAATGGGCTGGCAAACCACTCTGTTGTATCAAACCCCTCCAAAACCTAAAGAAAGGAATGAAAACCAGCATCAACCAAGGCACCAAAATAGAAATTCCCTAGTCCTACAAAATCCTCCATCATAACAGTGACAGAGCTGTCCCATGAGCTAGCCAGGCAATTGGGAACCATGGTGGTTCACTGGTTAGCACTGCCGCTTCACAGTGCCAGAGACTGGGTTCGATTCTAGCCTCAGGTGACTAACTGTGTGGAGTTTGCACATTCTCCCCATGTCTGTGTGGGTTTTCTCTCAGCGCACTGGTTTCCTCCCACAGTCCAAAGATGTGCAGTTTAGGTGGGTTGGCCGTGCTAAATTGTGCAGGCTAGGTGGATTAGCCATGGTTATACGGCCAGGGTAGGGGATAGGGTCTGGGTGGGATGCTCTTCGGAGGGTCGGTGTAGACTTGATGGGCTGAATGGCCTGCTTCCATGCTATAGGGATTCTATGAATGGCATTTCATGGTCATACTCACAGAATCATACTTTACAAACAATATCTCAGACAATTTCCCTGGTTATGTCCTATCTGCAAAAAGCAGGATGTATGAATCCCAGCCAGTTACTGCCTTACCAGTCTACTCTTGATCAGCAAAGAAGTGGACGATGCTATCAAGAAATAACCTGCTCAATGACACTCAGTTTAGGAGCCCAGGCTGCTCCACATAACTCCTGACCTCATTGAAAAAGACCTGAATTCCACAAGTGAGGTGAGAATCACTGCATTTAACATCAAGGCAACATTTGGCCAAGAAACCACAGCAAAACTGGAGTCAAGAGGATACAGGCAAAGCTTTCTGCAGATTGGAGCTATTCCTCGCACAAAAGAGGTCAAACATCACAGTTCAATGGTATCACAGCAGGAATTCCTCAGGGTAGCATACTAGACCCAACCAACTTCGCCTGCATCATCATTAACTTTCCCTCAATCATAATTTTAGAAGTGGGGATATTCACCAATGTTAGCACAACATTCTGTACATTTTATGACTCCTCAGATGCTGAACCAGTCTATGTCCAACTGCAGCAAAACCCAGGTGACATCCAGACTTGGGCTGACAAATGGAAATTAATACTCACACCACACAAGTGCTGGGCAATGACCTTCTCCCTTTGACATTCAAAGGCATTGCAGTCACTGAACGTCCCATTATCAACACCTTTGGTTACCATTGACCAGAAACCAAACTGGGTAATTATTCCACTTTCGCTTGGAATATAGCTTGATTTTATTTAGAAATTTGGTTTGGAGCGTTTATTTTGCCTTTTTTTCCTCTGTTTTTGCATAGCATCCATTTCTGAGAGATGGTAAGGTTAGGGTTAGAGTCTGATTATAAATGGAGATTTGGGTGCAGTTACAGGTATTTCATCTGGAGTTCTTCACCCCAGCCTAGACAGAAAGGGATTGCTGAGGTCAGGAATTCCCAATGGGCATGTTGAGACTCCAAGTGGGATTGTGAGTTGACATTTGGAGGTTGTGAGCCCTGAGAAAGCAATGGCCACTGTGGAGATCTGACTGAGTTAGAATGCATACGATTTGACTCTAACAGGCCCCTCCTCTCACTGACCCCAGCCCCTGCTCTCTCAGAGGGATCACAAATCCTTTCAAGCCTCAAAGTGGGGTCACTGTGGGGAAAACTTTGGGAAACACCACAGTAGGTAGCCTTTTCCTCATTCATGTGAAGGTGATGGCCTCGTGATATCATCACTGGGCTGTTAATCCAGAGACCAAGGTAATGTTCTGGGGATCTGGGTTCAAATCCTGCCGTGGCAGATGGTGGAATTTGAATTCAATAAAAATCTGGAGTCAAGAGTTTGATGATAACTGTGAATTCATTGCTGATTGTCAGGAAATACCCATCTGGTTCACTAAAGTCATTTAGACATTAATGAACCATCAAGATTACTTTCTCTTTATTTAGGGTAGGAAACTGCCACCTTTACCTGGACTGACCTACATATGACTCATCAGACCTGCAGCAATGTGGTTGACTTTTAGCTGCCTTCTGGGCAATTAGGGATGGGCAATAAATGCTGGCCTAGCCAGCAACATCCACATCCTGTAAATGAATTTTTAAAAATTCTCCGGGCCTTTCGGTTGCTTGATGTGTAGCTGGTAGTGCAATACTGGCCACTCTGATCAGCAAGCAGCTTGATACTCCAGAATTCCTCCAGATTGGTCCCAGTAATGTAAGCCTTGTTCTAGAACATCAGTGGTCAGCTCCAACACATTTTGTATGGCAGCATGGTTTTGCTGTATGTATGTTGTGCCCATTTGTCTGGGTTACAAACTGGAGGCTTCAGTCATGTTGTCAGTGGATTGTCGACTGTGAAGAGAATTAAAGACATTGTGACTGCTGCCAGCATACCAGGGCATTCACCTGTATGATTCACTACCAATTGGTACACACCCGCTGGTACTAAGAGCTAAAGGTCTGATATAGGACAACTGAAACAAAAACTGAAATTGTTGGAGAAACTGAGCAGGTTTGGCAGCATCTGTAGACAGAAAGCAGAGTTAACATTCCAAGTCCATTGACCTTTCTTCAGAATATTCTGCTGAGTTTATTCAGCAATTTTTGCTTTTGTTTCAGATGTTCAGCATCCACAGTTCTTTCGTTTGGTTTACTCCTATAGGTCAGAGTTGGTTTGCAGCTCTTGCACTACGGGGGAATCTTGGAACTCAAGCTGATCCTTTTCTGCTGACTCACCTTTCTCTCATGAGAGAGACTGAACTGTAGTTAATTCTCTTTGAGCTGAGAGCTCCCTTACTCTGCAGTGGACAGCAAACTGCATGTTGCTAATATTGTCAGCTCCAGCGTGGACGATGGTAGACCACATAAACCAAGGTCACCTTCACAGTCACTGACAATGCAGTCCTTGCCCTGTTCCAAAGTTGCAATTGTGGCTGCAGCAAGATGCACAATTCAGTGATGACATCCTCACTGAAACATAGGCATCTCATTGTTCTTCTCTAAGGTTCATGTAGCAGAACAGCTTCTTGAATACCCTGTGTGGATATGATCTCCAACTAGGAACTCCAACTTGTCCCTCAGTACAACCTTTCCCCTCCATCCTCTTCCAGCAGCTTATCCTACTCTGTGCCACTTCAGTTCATTCTCTAAGTCATATTGTATTCCAAGGGGAATGGCTACTTGTCTCCTCATATCAGGGACCAAATGATTTGTACATACATCTCATAAAGGGTAAAAAGACCTTAAACATCCACCATCTTTCTTATTGTAGATGTTTGAAATTTGAAACCACGACAGAAAACACCGAGCTTCTGGAATGGATCAGCAGCCAGAGATAATCAATTACCAACTCAACTGTAAGCAGTTAATGATTTTTTTAAAATAGCATTGGTGGAGGTCCTTCTCTCTGTTTGAGCCTGTTGGGCTCAAGGTTAAGAGAGGAAGTAATTTAACTAAAGTGTGGAGTTTTACCATAGTAGTGCTGGTATCAGTCACTGAATGCTGACTGACATCATGATCTGTCTACTCTGTGAAAGGTCTGTTAGATCTTTGCTGAGGTGCTCCTAACACCTGCATCAATAAGGTACCTGTAGCAATTAACCCCAACATTATGCATAGACCTTGGATGCCATTTTGGAGATCCAACAGCACTTGCAGCAGCCAACAACTGGGTTGTAAATAGCCCAATTTCTCTCCCATGATGTGCTGCAGTCTTTCTATAAGATTCCATCTTTTTTAAGTGTGTTTTTTCATATTTTGATATTTCATTTTGTACGAGAGAAACTTCAAGAGTGTAAGTGAGTCTAATTTTCAAAATGGGTTTTATTCTTCATATTCATTAAAAATTGTGGATCAGGAAGAACATAGACATGTTAAATACTATGTAAACATACTTCAAATATTGTAACTATGATATGGCACAGCATTTAAATCCAAAGTACTTATACAGATTTCAGCTTGCGATAAGAGTACCATTTGAAAATTGCTTTCAATTTCACTCATAACATATAGTAAACATCAGGGATATGCACTCTCACCAACTGCCTTCCTAAAAGGGGTTATTTAAACATTGGTTATTGTTGTTTGTGGTTTGTATACAGCTGGGTTACATATGAGAGCTGCTTCAGTGAAACGGAAATATGCACTGTCTGCTGGTGTTCTCGATGCCTCCAGTGACCAGTGGGCACAGCATGGCACTGGAATCTATCATCTCCCTCCACCACCCCTCCCCCCAACAACATTTTAATTTACTTTGAAAAGTTTCTGGTGAAGTTTTGATTTGTTTTGTAATATCCCTTTACCTGGTGGTTATCATAACAGTTCTGAGGAAGAGTCACCGGACCTGAAACGTTAACTCTGTTTTTTCCTTCACAGATGCTGCCAGACCTGCTGAGCTTTTCCAGTAACTTTGTTTTTGTTCCTGATTTACAGCATCCGCAGTTCTTTCGGTTTTTATGATTTCAAGGAGTTGGATATAGCACTTGGGACTGATGGGATCAACGACATGGGGGAAAGCGGAAACAGGAAATTCCATTGGATGATCAGCCATGATTGTGGTGAATGGTACAGCAGGGTCGAAGGGCTGAATGGCCTCCTCCTGCTCCCAGTTTCTATACTGCCAAATGGAAGTTGCCAGATCATGGTACGAACCTGGTATTAGAAGAGCTGCGTTTTTGACAGCACTCTATTGATTGAAGTGGTAAGGAATTACACACGTAGGTTGTTCACCGTATTGACTGGACGATGGTGACATGTAGTGGACGCCTCGCTTTGCAATGAAGTGAAGCATTTGTCAGACTGTGGAGCATGGTGTGCACTGGTTCAATGGCGATGGAGATGGGCCACCCCGCTAATCAGGAATTCAGATTGCACGACTGTCACCAACCGCTGGGGAAAAAGGTTCAAATACTTGCTGAAGTATTACCACTGTGAGATATTACCTGTGACCATTTTCCCTGAGAATGTAGGGGGCGTGGGGGGAGAGAATCTGTGCCAAGGATCCCTGAATATAGACATACATCTCAACACCGAGATTACAGGCGAGTTAAAAAAAATACCTTTTTAAAAAAAAAGCACACAGACAGCCACATCAGCATCTGCTCAGTGCATTGGGAGTGTCTGCTGGTAACTTGTTCCTGGGAAATAATTGAATTGCCAAGTCAGTGGGACCGGAGAGGAGTCTACAAAGGTTTCCAGGTGATTTTGGTGGCAAGTTGTCCTCACTCCAAACTGGTAGGTGCCGGTAGCTGAGTAACACTGCGGGCTGGGCACGGTGCCCTGTTCCCTGGGCCCGTCACTCGGAGGCTGCTGGAAGTAGAAGGGACTTGCCGGTGCTCCTGGGGGGGTAGTGAGGCGGAGACGAGGAGGGGAGCTGGCGGGGCTCACCTCCAGCGTAAGGAGTCTCTGCGGGGAAGCGGGGTAGCCGCCGGCACTCGCTGTGGTCACACGGCCAGCGCTGGGCTGGAGAGGACAGCAGGAAGAGGGAAAGGCTGGAGATCTTGTGGATGGCCCTCCTGAGGGTGGCGATCTTGGACAGGCGCTTGCCGTTCAGGTCATGGCGCAGGCTCAGGCGCAGAGCGTTGAAAGCCTGGTTGTAATCCAGGATGCGCTTCCTCTCCCGCACATTGGCCGCAATCCTCCGGGCTTTGGACCGCACCGGCCTGGGACGTCTCCTCGCCTTGCTCTCCTCCTCCGGCCCGCTCCGGGAAGTTTTCACTGGGGGGTCAGCCCTGTGTCCCTGATCTGCTGGTGGAGCCTTCCCAGCAGAATAAAGCAGCGGCTCCACTCCTGCTTTACTCCTGTACGCGGTGCTGGGTTGATCCATACTGACTCCCAACATCCAGGCAGGTCCAGCTCAACACCTTCCAAGGCAACATCTCTCCCCTTTTAAAACACACACACAGCCCCACGAAGACCACGTGATGGAAGGCTCACCTTTCTGTAGCAAAACTGCTTCAATTCCACCCCCTCCAACCCCCAACTCTCACTTGTAGCTCAGCCCCCACTTTTTATTATTCATTTAACCCTTTCTACCCTCTTTTCTATGGACAGACAGAAAGACCACCCCCCCTTCCTCACATTGCAAACTTCCAGAGGTGACAACGGCTCTATTTTAATCTAAATGGACTTATTTCTTTTTTCAAACAAAAAATTCTTTTTTAAAAAAAGAAAAAGAATTGCGAAAGAACAGCGGATGCTGTTGAAAAGAACAGAAATTGCTGGAAAAACTCAGCGGGTCTGTGGAGACAAACCAGCGTTAACGTTTCGGGTTCCGAGGAACCCTCCTGACTGCTGAGCTTTTCCATTCATTTCGTCTCAGTTTCCTCCCCCGACCTGTTGAGAAATATTATTGCATAACTCTGGAACAGGTCGGACTTGAACCCAGGTCTCTCGGTCTAGGGAATGCTACCTCTGCACCACAAGAGTCTCGCTGTCAGTATGTTACTCTAAGGACACACAACAACGACTTTTTAAAATGGAAACATTGACAATAGCATTAGTGGCTGACCTCAGCCTGAACTTTGGGAGCGACTCGCGGATGATTTGAATGAGTGTACCTGCCTCAAAAGTGTCTGCAACACTCCACTAACAATTACAATCCAATCCCAATCATTGCTGGGGATTCTTTTTAACTCCACACACCCAGGGTAGATCGATGTAACTTGTCAGGTTGCAGCGCACAACGCAGTTTTGTTGTAATTTTGACCGGAATTTATTGCCGTTTGAATTTAACTCCAGATAACCGCGTGCTTCTGGTGGGATTTGGCAGGAGGCGATCAGAACTGCAATGCAATGCTGTAATCCGGTACAGTATTGCCTTCTGATACCAAGGAGAGAATTAATTCTGAATCAAATGCACTGGAGGTTACATTGCACTAAACTGTTTGTGTCTCGTACTCAGTCCCGCTGAATTTGCGGTTTACTTTGCAAGTATATTTCATCTTTGGGGTCTGGGAGCGAGCAGATAGTCAGCTGGTGCATTTACAGATTAACCCGGACTTTTAGTTTCAGCGTCATACGAACTGGCGTCAGTGCCAGTTTGATTCCCACATGACAGAATATTCCTTCTCCTTGAACTTTCATTGCATTCCCCCTCAGTGTTGGAGTAGCCCCGACTCCGGCTTGGGCCTCCAGTGATACCAGCAGCTGCAGCAGCAACGAGGGCCCAGAGGCTGGACTTGGAGATGCTGCAAGGTTGGATTTTCATATCCCCTCCCTACAGTTCGAGTAAAGATAACTGTGACAGGCTCTCTCAGGCGATCTGCAACGCTCCTGGTGCAAGTTACATCAACACTGCCTCCTGAGTGAGATTGACTTTATTCTGTGAAAATATGTTGTGTTAATGACTTGGGTGTTCAGGACACAGTTGCAAAACTTGTAAATCACAGAAGACTTGTAAGTGCTGTGAGAAGGATAGCAATAAACTTCAAGAGGGCTGTGACGGGTTGGTGGAATGGGCAGACAAGTGGTGAATGATTCAGATGAGTGTGAAGTAATTGATTTTGGTTGAAAGAATGGAAAGAGGTACAACTAGAAAGGGGCAGAGGGACCTGGGTGTATATGTGCATAAATCATAGAAGGGGTCCAGGACAGGTTGAGAGTATGGATAAAAACTGCATCCTAGATTTTATACATTCAACAGATGCAGAGAGTGCAAAAGCAAGGAATTTATAATGAGACTAAATAATGCAGTGGTTCATCCTCAATCGAGATCTGTGTCAATTATAGGCACCACACTTTAACAAGAATGCAGTTTATTGACAATAAACTTAATGTAAACTTGTAAAAGAATGTTGGATTTTCCTTTATTTTACCTGCCATTATTCTTTCACACCCCCTTTTTGCTGTCCTGGTTTCCTTTTAAAGTTTCTCCTTGCACATTCTGTACTGCTGTAGGACTTCTGCTACTTTGAGCCCTTGGTAGTTGCAATATGCCTCCTCATTTCTCTTTATCGAGTTCTGTGTATCCCTTCATATCCAAAGATCACTGGATTTGTTGGTTCCAACCTTTGTCTTTGTTGGAGCATGTTGCTTACATATCTGCTTGTCTATTTCTCTCCTACTGTTAGGAGACCAAGGGTATGCTCCCAATAATGTGATTGCTCCTTTTTGGCTTTTAGGTTCTACCCATATGGGTTCATTTGTGGAGATTGCTAAGATGTTATCCCTTCTTACTGCTGTAACTGATGCTCTGATCAATATTGTGGCACCCCTCCCTCCTCTTTTACCTGCCCCCGACCCTGTCTCACCAGAAGACCCTGTACCCTGGAATATTGAGCTGTCAGTCCTCCATCACCCCATTTTCTACTCTGTCTCAGTGATAGCAATGAGATCATTGTAATTTGTGCCCTCAACTCATCTGCCTTGTTTATCAGACTCCTTGCATTAAAATAAATACCACCCAACCTTGATAAACTCCCTTGTGCCTTAACTAGCCTATAATTTCTATGCCTTCTTGACTTCCTTGCTGTCTCTTACAATTTGGGCTGTTCCTATCCTCCTGCTGAACCTTGTCTCTGGATCCCACCTGTCAAAGGCATTTCCAGTATCTTGTTTGGAAAGAAGCTTGATTGCTTCCTAATAAGTTCAGAATCCAATTGTATATTTTTTAAACAAGAAGCTTAGAATTTCTACAGTTCTACCTCTCCATATCACTACACTCTAAAGAAATTGTTGGGAAGTACTTTGAAGAATATTTCAAAGCTCTGCAAAGCTACATTGATGGAAGTATCTTGTTGCTACCATCTTAGGGAAGCTCCTCAGTTGCACTATGACAATGATATTGAATAGGAACCTGAGTAGAATGTGTCTATGAGAGAAAAGGGCCATATTGCAGTTAGAATAGTCGACGCAGCTTGAATTCATACCTGAAATTAACACAGAAACTACTGGAGAAATTCAGTAGGTCTGGCAGCATCTGTGGAGAGAGAATCAGATGTAATGTTTGAAATCTGGTATGTCTCTTCTTCAGAACAGTATCTGATGTGACACCCCAGCCAAGTGGAGTGGGTCACCCTGGTGGGGGATAGAATCACACTGTATTTATGTTTTTTGAGATCAGGCCTGTCCATTGAACAATAGCAGTTGCAGTGTCAGATCAAAGCACTTCTCGCTTGCTCCCTGCCTTTTGTTTGACTGCATGACAATGTTTCTCTTAATGGAAATTTCCTCAGCTTTAGTAGAATGCCATGTTTTTATCAGCAGATGCTAACATGTCCCCTGCAACTAATCTAAGGCAGGAAAGATATACCAGTAAGATTTGAAAGTAATTGCTCTTTCTCAAATCATTCATGTTACTTTTCCTCTGTTATTCACCACCACTAATAACTTGCGCTGCCAATTAATCAATTTACCTGCAGACCCCAATAAGGGCAATGCATTGACACTAAAGATGAGGAAGTTGAAAGCAGTTCATTCATATTTATCTCCATTATCCACATGTGGCTTCTACTGACTTATTACAAAGTTTGAGTAGATTGAGGCACTCAAATGCAGTTAACTGATGAACTCGCCTCAAAGTATTCAGTCCTGTCAGGGCACAGCTCTTTATTTGTCATGCACCTTGATTTGGTCGTCAATAGATCAAACAGTTTGCCGTTAGAAGCCGAAGTAGAGGTCATTGATTTTGTTGCCATAAAGCTAATTTTGATAAAATAGATAACTTGAATTTGAGATGCTATGAATGTAGAGGCAGCCTGAAGCCTATTCCACAGTTAATACAGGGTTACTGGCAAAATACTGTGGATGCTGGAAATCTGAAACAAACCAGTCAAGAGTGTGATGGAATATCCCCCACTTGCCTGGCTTGACGCTATCCAAGACAAAGCAGCCTACTTGATTGGTACTACATCCACAAGCATCCACTTCCTCTGCCGCTGATGCTCAGCAGCAGCAGTGTGTACTATCTATAAAATGCACCGCAAAAATTTACCAAGGCTCCTTAGAGCGCACCTAGCAAACCCTTGACCACTATCACCTAGAAGGACAAGAGAGCAGATAGATGGGGATACCACCACCTCTAAGTTCCCCTCCAAGCCACTTGCCACCCAAACTTGGAAATATATTGCTGTACATTAGTTATTGTTGAGTCAAAATCCTGGAACTCCCTCCCTAACAGCATTCTGGATCTACCTACAGCAAACAGACTGCAGCAGTTCAAGAAGGCAGCTCACCACCACCTTCTCAAGGGCAGGTAGTGTGTGTGATAAATGCTGGCTCAGCCAGCAAAGCCCAAATCCCATGATAGAATTTAAAAAAGAGTTATCTTCATATGGCACACGTTTATAAAGAGGCCAGTTCTTGACAGGCACGGTCTGAGACAAGGGCTGCTTATTAACTGAGTACTTCTTATTTTTTCATGCGATGTGAGAGACCAGATGTTGACAAGACCAGCATTTGTTGCCCATCACTAATTGCTGTATGAGCTGATTGGCTTGGCAGTTTCAGAGGGCAGATAAGCGTCAATGGACATTGCTGTAGGTCTGGAGTCACATGCAAGCCAGATCAGGTCAGGAGGCAGATTTCCTCCCTTAAAGGGCATTAATTATTTTCTGTTGTGGGCTGTTCTTTTTGGTGTTGGTGTCCATTGCCAAGTTGTTATAGCAACTGCTCATCCTGGTGGTGCACAACATTCTCTGCCATCAGTTAGTGAAGGCTGTTTTAGACCTTCATGTCACATTTACAAGCACCTTTGACAGCTTTTTCTATACTGCTGAAGAGGAGTTACCCCACACAAGGACCTTTTGGAAGTGGGCAACCTGTGCCTCTGAATAGGAAGTAACGGGTTGTACTAACACTCAATCATTAGCCCTGGCTGTCAGGGGT